GTTGGAGGGGTGGGCAGGACGGTTTTAGTGGCAGGCAGAATGGTTGTGAGGATGGGCAGGGTGGTTTAGAGGTGGGCAGGATGGTTTGGGGGTAGGTACCATGGCTTTGGGGCAGGCAGGATGGTTTTGGTGATGGGCAGAGTGGTTTAGAAGTATGCAGGATGGTTTTGGGGGCAGGCAGAATCGTTGAGGATGGGCAGGGTGGTTTAGAGGTGGGCAGGATGGTTTGGGGGTAGGTACCATGGCTTTGGGGCAGGCAGGATGGTTTTGGTGATGGGCAGAGTGGTTTAGAAGTATGCAGGATGGTTTTGGGGGCAGGCAGAATCGTTTTGGGTGGGCAGGATGGTTTAGAGGTGGGCAGGATGGGTTGGGGGGAGGTAGGGGGGGAGAGGTGGGCAGGATGGTTTGGGGGTAGGTACCATGGCTTTGGGGCAGGCAGGATGGTTTTGGTGATGGGCAGAGTGGTTTAGAAGTATGCAGGATGGTTTTGGGGGCAGGCAGAATCGTTTTGGGTGGGCAGGATGGTTTAGAGGTGGGCAGGATGGTTTGGGGGTAGATAGGGTGGTTTGGGGGCAGGCAGAATGGTTTTGGGGATGGGCAGGATGGTTTTGGGGATAGGCAGGGGAGTTTGGAAGCAGGCAGGATAGTTCTTGGGGTGGGCAGGATGGTTGTGGGGATGGGCAGGATGGTTTGGGGGCAAGTGGACTCTCCCAAGGAAAGGGATAAGAGGAAGGAAGGTGAGGATGCTCCTGGGAGAGCCCCTGCTTCTGGGTATGGGGAATTATCATTGTTCCTCCACAAACTAACGTGCATGTGAGACCCAAAGATGAGGTACTGGGGAGCTGGAGGAGAGGGGATAGCTCCCTCCTTGGAGGGAGATGGTGCGCGGGAGTCATGCAACACCTTGGAGAGCCCAAACCCTTCCTCTCACCAGCAGCTGCCTTCTGGGTCACCTCTGCGGGGCTGGAGGTGACAGAACAGCTTGCATAGCTGCTGAGAAATCCTGCCCATGGGATGATGCACAGCGGGCTGGAGCAGTTGGCCAAGCCTGGCAGCCTTCCCTGCGGACGGACCGCAGCAGATGCAGGGCTGTGCTGCGCGGCTGGTTCCCCTGGTAGGGATGCTCTCTAGTTGCATCAGGAGCTGGCCGTGTTCCTCTGCGTTGTGCTTCTGTTGGCGAGGCAGAGCCGAAAGTCTTGAATGTGCAGATTTAGAAAGTCTGGCCTCAGCTGCAGTCTCCCTCCCGCTCCATAACCCCAAATGCAGCCGGCTGGATGCGGATGTGAGAGCCCCATCCATGGGGACTGATGATGTTACCTCTCACATGAGCCTGCCACGTAAGGAATTGTGCAGTAGGGCAGAAGAAATTGAAGGTTTGGGGTTTTTTTTTTTGGAATATATGATAGGCTTTTAATGAAATGCAGCTGAGGCTTATTCTTCTTCCCAGTCCTGTTGGTTACAAAGTGATGCTACTTGGTGGCTGGCAATTTGAGGGCTCCATCCGCATTTGGACTTCTTGCTTCTCCTGACATGTACCGTGAGAAGCTCCAGTGAAGGAATAACATCCTGACTGGGGATATCGGCAAAGGGAAGGAGGGTCTAACAAGTAAATAAAAAAGCCTGTGCATACTGTGTGCTGTGAAAATGCTGGTACTCGCGATTCCCTTTCCGGGGGTGGTTTCAGTCCACCATACACCTCAGCATCGTGTTATTCTTCGCGCCCACTCCATCTTTCATAACCTCTGGGTTGTGTTGGCATTTACTGATTTATGCTGGTAAATAAAATGCTGCGTTTAGGGATGGAGAGAGGGATGGTCAGTCCCACTGAAGTACATGACAAGGTGTTTATTTTTTTAAAAATAAAGCAAATCATCCTTTTTCTCCCACTCCATGGACGTGGGTGCCTGCCTTGAAATGGGGGTCTTATGGAGATGTATTCAGAGGGGAGGAACTATAGCCGCGAGGTCTGTTTTGCTGATGGTTTTTAGTGTTGATCTGTATGCAGAGAGATACTGCTTTCTCAGGGTACCGCAGCCCGTGTTTTTACAGAGAGGATGCTTTTATCTTGCTGAAGGTTGCGTGAAAATGTCTGGGGCTGTTCTTTCCGCATTGCTTCCTTGAAAGCAAAACATACCTGGAAGGAGATGATGATGTTAGTTAGTGCTGGGAAGCTAAACCCAGACTTGCCCCATGTAAGCGTAGATGCTCAGCAAAGGCATTGAAGTTGGAAACTTAGTTGTCGAAGTTCTGTTGACTTTTCGGGAAGATATTTTTTAGACGGGCTGAGTTGCGCTCTGGAGGTTTCCCATTTCCAGTGATTTTAGATGGAGCCAGGAGGACAGCGCTCTTAATGCGAAATGCTTAAGAGCTCGCAGGGATGAATCTGGACCTAACGAATGCTGCTGGGGTTTGTACTTGGATAAAGTTTCAAGCAGGTACAGCAAAGCATTTCAGAAACCGTAAGGGAACCCAGTGTTATGAACAGTCCCTGCGAGGCCAGTGGTCAATGGGGGACCCACAAACACAAAGCATCCAGTTTAAAATTCCACGCTGAGTTGGGGGCATGGTGAGGAATAAGTTTCTCGTCCCCAGCTCTCTCTTCTAGCTGCCACCCCGTATTCCCCGTCTGCTTTTCTCCAGCACAGAGACTCAGTTGCTCCACATGTGATTTTATTTATTTACTTATTTATTTATTCTTTCCTCTCTAGGCTTCTGGGCTGATCGAACACCAGTTCATGAAGCTGCCAGGCGGGGAGAAATCCTGCAGCTGCAGCAGCTGATAGAGAGCGGAGCCTGCGTCAATGCGGTCACCTACGACTCTATCACCCCATTGCATGAGGCGAGCCTGCGAGGACAGACACAGTGTGTCAAGCTCCTGCTGGCTGCAGGGGCCCAGGTATGTTTTTGGGTCTGATCCAGCTGGGAGCATCATCTTGATGTCTGAAGTTATTTCATAGAATCGTAGAATGGTTTAGGTTGGAAGGGACCTTCAAGATCATCTAGTTCCAACCCCCCTGCCATGGGCAGGGACACCTTCCACTAGACCAGGTTGCTCAAAGCCCTGTCCAACCTGACTTTGATCACTTTCAATGATGGGACGGCCACAACTTCCCTGGGCAACCTGTGCCAGGGGCTCACCACCCTCATTGTGAAAAATTTCTTCCTAATATCTATTCTAAATCCCCCCTCTTCCAGTTTGAAGCCATTCCCCCTTGTCCTATCACTACATACGCTTGTAAAAAAGTCCCTCTCCAGCTTTCTTGTAGGCGCCCTTCAGATACTGGAAAGCTGCTATAAGGTCTCTCTGGAGCCTTCTCTTCTCCAGGCTGGACAACCCAAACTCTCTCAGCCTGTGCTTACGGGTGCTGGGTGCTCCAGCCCTCAGAGCATCTTTGTGGCCTCCTCTGGCCCCGCTCCGACAGGTCCATGTCCTTCTTATGTTGGGGGCTCCAGAGCTGGACGCAGTACTTCAAGAGCTTGTGACTTCTCATACGCTGAAGACAGCCGTTCTCAGAGCAAAGGCGGTGAAGTGGGGCATGTGTGCACTCCGTAGTCCTTCTGAGTGCAAAATCAGCCAGCTTGGCTGAATCCGCTGATGAAGCTGGGCTTCGCACTAGAGCAGAGAGGAGTTGTGAGTGTTACTCAGCCACAACGCTTGTCAACTTCAGCGTAAAAATGGTAGAAAAATATAATGGTGGAAATAGCAGCCTAAACTTGTGACGTTAATGTTCCTATTTGCCCTGAGAGTGATTGGAATGGCGCAAACCAGGTTGCTGGCAGTGACAACCAAATCCTTCCC